GTTTAGCACAAAAATGACCACCATTTGGCCATTTTGAATAGGATCGCCAAACCAATATATTCGTATATCTAAGACATGATGTATAATAAATATTTAAAATTTGAACATAATCAGTGAAAGCAAGTCAGACATATGGCATGAGAACCACATTCATTAATACAAAATGGCCGCAAGTCGGCCATTTTGAATCTTATCTGAAAAACAAAATTATTTGCATCAAGGTCCCATAATGTCTAATGTATATACCATGTTTGAACAAAATCCATCTGTAAACAGCCGAGAAATGGTTGATTTTTAGGATTTTTTAGCACAAAAATGGCCGCCATTGGGCCATCTTGCATCAGACCGTAAAACAAAATGATGTGCATCAAGGTCCTATAATGTCTAATGTATATACCAAGTTTGAACAAAATCCATCTGTAAACAGCCGAGAAAAATGCTTGATTTTTATGATTTTTTAGCACAAAAATGGCCACCATTCGGCCATCTTGAATCAGATCGTGAAACAAATTGACGTGCATATGTATAATATCATGTATGATGTATGTGTGAAGTTTGATTGGTCCTGGCATTTCTAAGATACTGGTCCGGACGCACACACGCACGCACGCACGGACACACGAAGGTCAAAACATAAGTCCCCGTTTTCGGACTGCGTCTGAACGGGGACTAAAAATGGAAATTACAAGTAAATATGACAAAAACTAAAATTATTGTCTTTAGAAAGAGAACATTGAAAACAACTGAAAGTTCTATTATCAACAACAAAATATTACTAGTGTTGATTCATATTGTTATCTTAGTGTAATGATTCACTCAAATGGTCATTTTACTGACACAATAAAACATGGAAATTAAAGCCAATCCTACTATACGACTGGGGTACTGAAATTCTCACTAATGTTGAATGGGATTTATGAAACATGCCTGCAATATAGTATTGGTAAAAAAAATCTTTGGCACAATGGGGGCACACCGGTTACTAGAACTCCATCCAATTACCTGAAATTTGAACACTTGGCTCTGATGTGTCCTAACAAAGTTGGTACATGTTACAAAGGTTAATAAACTGACAAACTAAATTTATCTGAAAACAAGGTATTAATGAATTTGTCATTTGCACTATTAATGTTGTATTTACTGATATCAAAGTTAAATGCTCCCCAGACATCAGAACCATACATGGCAATAGGCTTTACAAGAGAATCAAATAACTTGCATGCAAATTTAACAGAATGACAGTCTCTATAAACCCACAACATTTTATATATTTTTAATAATGCCCGTTGTGCCTTGGCTTGAAGTGCTGAAATTGCAACTTTGAATTTCCCATTACTTTCAAAAGTAATACAAAGATATTTGTAGGTATCGATAATCTCAATTTGCTTACCATTTATATAAAATTGATATAAATCCTTTAATTTTTTCCCCTTAGAATTAAACACCATTACTTTAGTCTTATTTATGTTGATATTCAATTTCCACTGAATACAGTAGTTTTGAAGGTTGTCTAAACAATTCTGTAATCCATTTTCACTTGTAGAGACCATAAGTAAATCGTCCGCATACAAAATACAATTTAAGTTTATATTATTTATCTGGATAGGGTCATAACTGTTAATTAACTGACAAATGTCATTAATATATAAATTGAATTACTGTGGGTTGAGATTACAACCTTGTCGAACACCATGGTATGAATTAAATGATTCAGTTAAACCAATTTAACCCTATATTTAGTGCTACTGTAAATTGAGCGAATAATACCATAGAATTTCCCCCCAATTCCTAATGTCAGTAATTTGTACAGTAAACCCATCTCTCCAAACTGAATCAAATGCTTTAGAGAAATCAATAAAGCATGCAAATAAATGATTCTTTGATCTTTTTAATTTGCTACTGACATACTTAGTAATCATAGTTCTCAAAACATATACTCCATCTGTAGTGTGGTGATTCTTTTTGAAGCCAAACTGATTGTCAACCCCTAAATTTTGCTCTTCTACATACTTCACTAATCGGCTATTGAAAAACATTGTGAAGAGTTTTGACAAGCAACTGGAAATTGCAATGCCACGATAGTTATTAGTATTAAAAGGGTCACCAGATTTGAAGATTGGTACAATATAATATCATTCCATTTTGAAGGAAACTGACCATGTTTGATGATAGTATTAAACAGCTTAGTTATAGCTCCCACAATGTGATAGGTGCCTCTCTTAAGCATTTCATTTGGAATTAGGTCTGACTCATTCGCTTTCCCAGATTTAAGAAATTTAATATTTTTCATAATTTCATTAGTTGTGAAATTGTAGTCCAAATAGTATGTAGCAGAAGCTACACTGCCTATCCCCTGTTATGTCATTGTGGCGAAAGTATGTAGAGGAAACTACACTGCCTATCCCCTGTTATGTCAGTGTGGCGATAGTATGTAGCGGAAGCTACACTGCCTATCCCCTGTTACGTCAGTGTGGCAATAGTATGTAGCATTAAGCAACACTGCCTATCCCCTGTTATGTCATTGAGCCGATAGTATGTAGCGGAAGCTACACTGCCTATCCTCTGTTATGTCATTGTGGCAATAGTATGTAGCATTAAGCAACACTGCCTATCCCCTGTTATGTCATTGTGGCGATAGTATGTAGTGGAAGCTACACTGCCTATCCCCTGTTATGTCATTGTGGCGATAGTATGTAGCGGAAGCTAGACTGCCTATCCCCTGTTATGTCAGTGTGGCGATAGTATGTAGCAGAAACTACACTGCCTATCCCCTGTTATGTCAGTATGGTGGTAGTATGTAGCGGAAGCTACACTGCCTATCCCCTGCTACGTCAGTGTGACGA